CCCCCCCCCCCCCCATCTCTCTGATCTGCTACAACCATATGTCCCACAACGTTCCCTGAGGTCAGCGGACCAGTTGCTCCTCACAGTTCCAGGAACTGTGTTCTGGAACTGTGTTCCAGGAACAGTTCGTCTTAAGTGCAGAGGTGACAGGGCCTTCTCTGTAGCAGGACCAAGACTCTGGAATGAGTTACCTCTGCTTTTCAGACAGGCTCCCTCCCTCTCGGTTTTCAAATCCCGTTTAAAAACTCACTACTATTCAGTAGCTTTCAACACCAGATGATCTGTGTTTTGATCCTGTATGCTCCACACTGGTTTGTCGTCATTATCTGCATCGTTTTTTATGTCTATATTCTGATTTACCTCATTTTGTATATCGCTTTGTGTGTTACCTGTTGTTTTGTCTGTACAGAACTTTGGTTGGCCTTGTCGCTGTTTTAAGTGCTCTATAAATAAAGTGGTATGGTATGGTATGGTATGGTATGGTATGGTATGGTATGGTATGGTACCTGAGCGACAGTAGTTCTGTGTTAATTTTGCTAACACTCTATCTACTTCAGTGCCTCTTTCCTGCGGGATCCCGCAAGGCTCCATTCTTGGACCACTTCTGTTTTCTTTGTATCTCCTCCCCTTAGGGTCTATCCTGAGGAAACATGGTCTTTCCTTTCATTGTTATACTGATGACTCTCAGATTTATCTGCCGTTAACACTTAACAGTTCCTCCTCCATTCGCCCTTTGTTAAAATGTCTTGATGACATCAAGACTTGGATGGCTGCAAACTTTTTGAGTTTTAATGATCAGAAGACTGAGGTCATTGTATTTAACCCTAGCTCTGCCACTGTCACTGATCCTGAAAACCTGGACTCCCTTCAGCCATATCTAAAACAGTCTGTTACCAATCTCGGGATAGTTTTAGACTCGGGCTTTAAGTTTAATAAACAGATAAATTCTGTTCTTCAAAAAAAGCTTCTTTTAGCTAAGGCAGATAGCTAAGCTCAAGTCCGTCCTGTCCAGATCCGAGCTTGAAAAATTAGTCCATGCATTTATTACAACCCGGCTGGACTACTGTAACTCGCTTTATGCTGGGGTCAGTCAGGTCTCTCTCTCACGTCTCCAGCTCGTACAAAATGCTGCATCTCGGCTACTAACAGGAACTCGCAGGTTTGAGCACATTACTCCAGTTCTGTCCTCTCTTCACTGGCTTCCTGTGCGTGTCAGAGTTGATTTTAAGATTCTTCTGCTGATATTTAAGTGTGTTAATGGCCTTGCACCATCATACCTCTCCGACCTCCTTCATCCTTATACTCCTTCTCGGGCCTTGAGATCATCAGACCAGCTGCTTTTGGCCATACCAAAAACCAGGCTGAAGCTCATAGGAGATCGGGCTTTTTCAGTCATGGGCCCTAAACTCTGGAATAATCTGCCCATCAACATTCAACAGGCCGCCTCAGTCTCTATTTTTAAATCTCTCCTCAAAACACATCTGTACTCATTGGCATTTAACACAGTGTGATCTAATTTGGTATTTCGTTGTTGATGATTGTGTATATCCATTTTGCTTTTACTCCCTGACATTTAACGCAGGGTGATTTGATTTAGTATTTCATTGTTTTTCATTATATTTCATGTTTTTATGCTTTTATTCACGTTGCTGTAATATGTTGTTTTTAATATTTGATGCTGTGATCTTTTTTGGTAAGCACTTTGATAACAGTTACTGTTTTAAATGTGCTATATAAATAAATGTGACTTGACTCGACTCCACTGTCATCCCTCCATGCAAAGCCGTAGAGGATGAAATCCCTCTGGTGGAATGAGCTCTGAGATTCTATGGAGGGTCCAGCCCTGATGAGCTGTAAGCTTCAGAAATAACCTCACACAGCCAGTGTGAGAGGCGCTGAATGGATAAAGGGCGACCTGTGGAGCTGTCTCTGTAATGCACAAACAGGTGTTGAGAACGACGCAGTGTGGACGTGCGTGCTACGTAACATGCAAGCGTGCGCACGGGACAGAGGAGGTGAGATGTTGCTTCCTCCTCTGAATTATGAGGAGGAGGATAAAACCCATCCAAGGTTATCATTCTCGATTTAAATGAACTTGTGATGCTTTTAGGGATGAAAGCTGTGTTAGGTCTCGGCACAGCTGAGCTGCCGTCAGCTTGAATCCTGAGACACGAAGGACCAACAGAGAGCGCAGATAAATCACTCACTCTCTTTGCTGATGTCAGAGCTAACAGCAGAGCAGTTTTAAGTGACAGACATTTAAGTGAAACATGATCTAAAGGCTCAAAAGGAGCTTTGATCAGAGCGCACAGGACGATCATTAGGTCCCACTGCGGGGCTAGTGTCATCTGGACAGTTTCTTCTGAAGTAAGCTGTTGGGGGAAGAATCAGTTTTGTGTTGTGTGTTTCCTTGACTGATGAAGCCTTCCAGATCGAAGGCGAAAGGTTTCAGCACAAAAAAAAAGAAAAGAAACTGTCCAGATGACCTGACTGAAAAATGTTGGATTGTATACCTGGATTATTGAGCATGGACTTTGTTCTCATCTCATCTCATCTCATCTCATCACAGCACTTTGGTTGGCTTTGTAGCTGTTTTAAGTGCTTTATAAATAAAGTGGTATGATATCTGTGTTCTTTGTTTAAAACAGGTCTCTCTTGTAAATGAGTCCTCGTGGCTCAATTGGACTAACCTGTATGAATAAAGGTTGAATGAATGATACAATGATGATGTCACTTTCTGCAGGACATGGAGGCATTCATGCAGAGCTCCGGTGATGCTGGTGTGGTGGTGGTCTCCTTTGGCTCAATGGTACCAAATCTGACAGCAGAACGTGCTGATGTCATCGCCACAGCCCTAGGAGGACTACCCCAGAAGGTCATAGACACCTTTATTCAACTGTGTGGTCTTTCTATTTGCAGTCCTGCGATTTACAAACAGTCATGTCGCTTTGTCTTTCAGGTGATTTGGCGTTACCATGGCAACACTCCTTCCACGCTGTCACCAAACACAAAAATTTATAATTGGATCCCTCAAAACGACCTGCTCGGTAAAACTCTCATGCTTCTTGTTCTTTCTTTTCAAAATAAAGGTCGGCTCAAGAAACTGATCAGTTGATCATAGATTTGTCTCTATGAACTGACCCTGATCATAAGATTATTGATTAACATCCATCCATCCATTATCTTTTTTTTCTACTTTATTTTTTTCTTGTGAATTTACATAGGAACAATTTATACATTTGCTGTGCTCTCAGTTACAGTAAAGATTTTTACATGCATGTGCATATATGCAGCACGGTGGCGCAACTGGTAAAGCTGCTGCCTCTCAGCGAGAAGGTTGCCAGTTCAAATCCCGGTCTGGGGTCCTTTCTGGGTGGAGTTTGCATGCTCTCTCTGTGCATGCATGGGTTTTCTCCGGGTACTCCAGTTTCCTCCCACAGACCAAAAACATGCATGTTAGTCTGATTGGTAACTCTAAATTGTCTCTAGGTGTGAGTGAGAGAGTGAATGGTTGTTTGTCTCATTTGTCTCTATGTGTCCCTGTGATGGACTTGCGACTTGTCCAGGGTGTACCCCGCCCCTCGCACAGTGATTGCTGGACATGGGCACCGGCGACCCCGTGACCCAAAATGGAAGAAGTGGGTAAAAGATAATGGATGGATCTGCATATATACATATACTTGGGCATTAACAGAGTACTCGAGTAATCTACACATCGATTGCTAGGACCTCTATCGAGGTTAAAAATGTAACGTCGAGTATCCGTAGTGACGTCATATTATGTGACCACCGTATGACCGTAGGGGGCGGTGTTGCACTGTTGCAGGTCACAGAGTATGGTGTAACACCGGGTCCAATCCACCGCCCATCCACTGTTTTAAGTTTCGTTTCTGACGTGCTTAGTTTGCAGTTTAATAATAATAACTAATAGTTTAGTTTTTCCTGTGACTTATTTGCAGTATGATAAATGGTAGGAGCATAATATACGCTCCCAATGTTTTGTTGGTCTTTTTTTTTGTAAATAATTACCGTTTTTTTTGCGGTTTAATTATTTATTTATGTATCTTGAGATATATGACGTCATCAAATACTCTAGTTCTACTTGGGTTTTATTATGTTAATGTCGAGTTTAAAAATTATATACTGTTCAACCCCTAAATCTAGCTCAATATTCGAGTACTCTTAAATATTCCTAATATTAATGTTATGAACGAGGTTGTACCCAGGATGAAGGACCAGAAAACTGAAC